TCCAGAATTTGTGAGCCTGAAAGGAGGGCCACTGGTTAAATACCACTGAAAGCCAAGTTCAAGCTGAAAATAAACTGAAGTTCTATTGGGACCCTAAGCTCTCCCTGACAGTTTATTTATGCCATAAAAAGCCCCACCCAACACGATCCAAATTAATCAAAGCTCTCAAGTAAGGGCTGCTTCTATCTCTTGGGGCTGGTATCTAAAACCCCCACTGCACACAGAAGGAAAGCAGTCTGCCAGTAGCAAGAGAAAAGAAAAGTCTGCGTGGCTGTCCCAAGACAATCAAGAGAACAGAAAGGAAGCAGAGGGTCCCTGGCAGTTGAAGCATAGGGGAGGCACCAGCAGAAGTCAGCAGTGCCACAAGTACTGGTTAATACAGAATCTAAACTATATAGCAGCCATTAGTTTTTCAGTCAAGTATCATTACACCCATTAACAACCAAGAGAAATAGGAGAGCTCAGACGTAAGCCACCTGTCTCAAAGTGCAGCACAGCTTTGTGAAGGAAAGCAGACTTGATCCAGAACGCCAGGGCTTTGAGCCTGACTTGGCTATCTGCTTAGCTGCTTTCTATCAGGCAATTTCACTAACCTCAGTGCCTCAACTGTTCTACCTGTAAAATAGGGATAATTATAGTATACACTTCAAAAGGTAGTTATGAGGACTAAATCACTTAATCAATATCAAGCCTCCAGAACAGCTCAGGGCACACAGCAATCAGTGAGGTTTAGCATTTTGTTGAACAGGGTGAAACTGGGACTAACAACTTCTGACAAAACCAATGTTCTACTGTATCCCATTTACTTCCAGGGCCCCTAATGCCGCCAAAGACTACCAGTCAGCTCTCTGCCTCCACCTGGGGGATTCTCTACACTCCAAAGAGGCCCCAAAGTTGCAGTAGAGAGTTCAGAGTTGCTTTCTAGGGGCCTGGAAGGGGAAAACCCAGCTCTGAACCCAAGGTTTCCCTGGGTTCTCAGTGGCTGAGAGGAGCCTGCAGGCCGACAGCACATCCACTAAGATCCTGGGCCCTCCCCACAAGGGCTGCCCCTCAGCTTGCTGAGGTCCACCTCCTTTCCCTGCTTCCTCAGGCCTCTCTGCTCCCATAGGGAACCTCTCCTATTTTCCAGGAAACCCATCACTTGTGACCTTTCACCCTTAAGGATAAGATCTTATGGGGAAGTCTTCTGTAGGCCTCCTGGAAGAAACTTTGCATAGCTTCTTCTAGAACAATATGTGGCTCACAGTCATCACTAGGCATCAGTGTGCAGACAAGACTACCTCCCAGGGGCCAAGATTCCCACCCACCTGAAGACCCTCAAGGTATCTTGAGTACAATAAACCTCAAATAATTGTCAAACAGAACAAGTTTTACCAAGCTGGGATGAGCTAGATTCCTAGCTTTTCCAAACTTCTAATTATTCAGTTTTATGAACCTTGAGGGTTTGTCCTGGGTTTTCTTTTTGGTCCTTTTTGTTGCTATTTCTTAGAAGGATCAGTGTGTACCTTAGAGAGAGCATCAGAATTTCTGAGCTTGACAGTGAGCTCAGGCTTGCCTGACATCTTTTAAGTGGCAGTAACCTTGAATTTAGTTTTAGGCGCAAAAGACAGGGTGCTTTGACAATGAAAACAAGGGGATAAAAAGCAAACTGTAAACTCCTTTTTAATGAAAAGTTCTTAAAAGTTAAACAAAGCCACCAACCCATCAACCAAGTAATTTACGAGACTATTTGTTTTTGTTTTTTGTTTTTTTAAAAAAGCCCAACAGGCTGGTTTGAATACTACCACTAACTCACTTGGGGTAAGTCCTGTCCCTTTTCCAGGCTTCAATTTCCTCCCCTGTGCAACAGAAGGCCAGATAAGACGTCTAAGATGGCTCACTACTGACTGTCAAACTTCTGTTCTCTATACAATGCTCTGGGGAGGACCTTTTGGTCTATGTTCAGAGAGAAAGGAAGGCCATAAAACACCGAAGTCTACCAAAGTTGGACAAGATGAAGAACTGTATTAAGAAGTCCTCTACCCCTTCTCTGACACTGGTTTATTCATACATAACTTTTTAAAACTATAGAAATGTCTTCGGGTAGAGTTGACACTGAAGTGGGGCTTGGGGACAGGGACGAACCATTCTCTATTCGGCCGAATTATGAAATAAAATGCACTTTCTCTCTACCTATCCGTGTGTTATCAGGTTCCCTTCTTTTAAAGCCCACCTTCCCTGCTAACTCCAGGTTCTCATTTTTGCTAATCTGTACAACACAGTACAAAGCTGTTGTTAATGAGCCAACCTGCCTTTTCCTCCTGTGACCCTGATTAGCATTTGAGTTTTCTACAGCTTCTCAAACTTTTCAAATTAAGTTCCCTTGGGGCTAAGAGTTGTGCGTTTTTTCTTCTCTGCAAATACCACTATAGGACCTCAGTAAGTTTGTGGGTTTGGTTCATTGAGACTTTAAGGCAGATTAACACTTTTTAGTCTGTTATTTATTCCAAATTACAGGAGACTGGTCAAGAGGTGACCACAAAGGACATTCTGTTTACAGACAAAGCTGAACCAGATTATCTGCAAACTGAAGGAATCTGCCCCGAGGTATAGCTGGACTGCTAAATTTTGGAAGTTGAAATCAGGGAAAGTTAATTTGGGGTAATCTGGATACTTATTGTTCTCCACTTTAACACTGACAGTAAAAAACAAGCTTATTAACTGCTTGTTAAATTAACACTCTGAGCATCAGCCTATAAGCAGAGGCAACATACACTGCCTTTACTGTTCTTTCCCTGGGCCCAGAACATTAACTGACCCATAGCAGAGGCTCATATATTTAAGACTTCAAATAACTGAAAGGGATGTATTAAGTATGTGGCCTAAAAGCAAAATATTTCATTTCTTTTAGGTCTCAGTTTTAGTCACAAAGGGAGGAAGAAGATATCACTGTTTCTGTCAACTTGGCGCTGCAGACAACACAGGAAACAGAAAGTGTTCCAGGGTCAAGTTTGGGAAACTGGTACAGGAACTTTGTGAATCTTGAAGGGGATGAACCTGGAAGGTTCACAACGCAGCCTGAATCTATTTAAGCAGCGACTCATCTGCAGCACTTGTGGACATTCCCAGGCTGCACAGCAACCCTATAACAGAGGAACCCTCACCCTAGGAATAAAGGACTGCTCCCCACAGGTTTGAAACGACTTGTCCCCTGTTTCATGCAGTCAGCTTAGACAAGCCATGTCTAAAAGCAAATCTAAACCCCACAGCCCATGCTAGGCTGCCACTGTTTACTGTGGACTTGACAAATTCTACAAGTGAGGACAAAACAGTACATGTAGGGAGACAAAGCCAAGATTTCCAACCCAGGTTGAAGGTTCAAGACTGACATAGATGAGCTGAGGGTGAAGGGGACCCTTTGGCAAAACAAACTGCTACATCTCAAGGAGTGGTGTAAGATGAAGTCCAGACCATTCATTAACCACAGAGGAGATAGTCTAAGAGTGAACTGAAGAGCTTGTAGAATAGAGAGAAACTGGAAGAATCTCCTGGAAAGTCTTTTCAAAACAAATATATTCAGCGTGGAGAGAGGGTGGACTTTTCAAGACAGATGGGGCAGAGATGGGCATAAAAGTAGAAGCCTATTTCGAAAAAGAAGCCCAGGTAACATTGAGCATGTTCTCAATCCTCTATCAAACTGATCTGAAGTAGGCCAAGGAGTTCTCTGGAGATGGGCCTGCAGAATCTTAAGATAAGGCAAATCCTGAAACAAAATGCACTAGCTGACCCCCACTCCCACCCCAGATCCTACCCATTCTTACTAAGGTCAGATCTAGTTCATCTTCAGGGGATAAGAGTACATTGTTACCCCTCTTAAAAGGATTGAGACCTTGAATCAAGACAAATCTGGGACCACATCCCTTAAGCTATGAAAAATTGTAAAGAAAACAGGAGGACAACCCTACTTCCCTTACAAGCTGATTAACCTTCATCAACTTACCTTCAAGTTCATCTCTAATCCTTAGTTTCTCTGTTTATAGAAAGAAGAGAGGATTTACTTTTAAAGTTATTACCTCCAGTCACTGTAAGAGATCTAGGGCAGAGCTGGCGCTCAGATTAGCAAGCCTTCCCCTGAGAACACTTCTCAGGCCTTCCTAGACCACTGGCTAGGAACAGACCCTGGGCTACTTGTAGTCTGAACAAGACACGTGAGCACTCAGGATGCACACACCCCCCTAACTGCAGTTAAAACCCCCAAACCAGGACTTGCCCGCCGTAGGACTGCAAAACCCCTTTGCCTCACTGAGCCCTACCTTCTCTAGAAATAAAAAAACTTACAAGCCAGCCTCAGAAAGTTAAGAGCGTGTAAGACAAGAGGAAAAAGATATTCGATGTTGCTGTGTGACAGTTCTGGCCCACCTGTGGGGTTATTATGCTGCAGGTCCCAAGAGGACCTAGCCTAAAAACCGCCAGTTAGCTTGAGTGCCCTGGGAAGAAGAGCTGGGGGTCTCACAGGAAAAAGACGAACCAGAGTCTGCAGGGTGGAGCCCGATGGTGCGGGGATTTTTGGAACCAGACAAGGAGTGGGTGTGGGTGGGTCCAGCTGAGTTTTTTTCTTTTTGTTTGCTTTGGGAGGGAAAGAGAAGGGGCCCAAGCCTGTGAGGGGGCTCGGTAGTTCTTTCACTAACTCTGAACCCAACCCCCTCCACTTCCAAATCCGACTTTCAAAGTGCTAGACGTTTCCTAATAATGGCTCGCACTTAAGGAGCACTACTACCACAATGGTTAGCACTTAATAAGCCCTTGTTATGAAAATACCAGCTAACGTTAGGGCTGGAAACTGATTCCGGTTCAGGAGAGGGGAGGGCGGACTTTTTGCCTGGCGCAGAAAGGAGGGTGTGTCGGGTCCAGGGTGACAGGACTGGGACCAGGTTCTAGGGGTCCAGGGGTCAGTTTGGGTCTGGCCACCAGACTCTTGGGCCCAGGCCCGGCGTAGCCGGGGCGGCCCTCGGCGCTCCTACCTTTGAGCGAGGTCTCCACCAGGCGCAGGTAAAGCTGGGAGCTCTTGTTGCCGTGGCTCATGCGCTGGGCGAGCCCGTTGCGCTGCAGGACGCACTCTTCAAACTGAACAACATTCTGGTGGCGCCGTTTGAGGCTGGTCAGGGCCCAGAATTCGGCCAGCGCCAGCTCCACGTTCTCGGGGGCGTCGCAGCGGATCTTCTTGACCGCCACCCGGGCCCCACTGCGCCCGGCCACTGCCTCGTACACCACGCCGTAGCTGCCGCGCCCGATCTCCGCCAACAGGCTGTAGCGCGGCCGCGCCGACCCGCCGCCGCCCTCCGGCCGCCGCCGCGCCAGGTAGGCCTCGCCCGGGGCCTCGGCCGCCACTGGATCCATGGCCTGGGCCGCCGCCGCCGGCCTCAGCTTCGCGCTGAGTGCCCGCGGCACTGGGCTTCGCCTTTTCCGCTCGGGGCTTTGTGTACCTCTGCGAGCGCCGTCCTCCTCCCCCGTTTCCATGGCTGCGGGCGGCGGGGGGAGCAGCAACGGCGCTGCCCGGGACCCCCCTGCCTCATCCCTCCGTCCGGCCCCGGGACGCGGAAGAGCGGGACCTTGGATTGTGACCTGCAGGCGAAAAAATCGGTTAAACGACCGGGCCGAGGCGGGGAAGCCTGGAGCGTAGGCCTCAGGGCGTCCCACCTCCTCCTCTGGCCGTTGCGGCCCCTTTAAGACGGAAGCCACGGCTGCAGAGCGAACGGGGGAGGGGAGGGGAAAGCGGGAAAGACGAAACCACGGGGCACTGGCTCAGAGGGGAGAGCCGGGAAAGAGCAGAAAGTACCCGCCTTTTCAGTTAATTTATCGTGTAGCAGTACGAAAAACAAGGACCCGCAGTTTTCACGACTGATGAAAATCGCCTTCAGAAGCAATTCGGTCTGTGAAAACCTTTTTCTGCCGCCTGGCTCCCTTTGGGATGCCCCTCCCCGCGTCCCGCCTTGAGTTCTCCCGGGTGTAAACAGTCCATTGAATTAAGCCCGAGCAGAGCCCCGCGGACCGACCCAAGTCCCGCCGGACTGCGGGTGTAAGGGGTTGGCTTAAAAGTTCGGCGTCCTTGAGCGCGCCCAACCTGGGGCCCAGCTGCCCTCACAGACGCCCGAGGCGGCAGGCGTAATTTCATCTTCGGTGCTAGCTTTTACGCCGCGGACAGCGCGCTTACCTGGCCGGCGCCCTTCCACTTCCGGGCAGCGCGTTTCCCTCCTAAGGCCCCCGGCTGGGGATGGTCCGCCCCTGGACAGGGCTGCCTCGGGTACGGAGCCGCGCGGGAGGCCGCGGCCCGAGTCGGGCGTGCGACTACTGTACGAGTGACGGCAGCAGTACTCTCGGGGTACAGCTGGGCGTCCGGGCTCCCGCGGCTCTCCACGTGTTCGCGCCAGCTGAGCCCTTTACGTAACCTTTTTATATAAGCCGCACGTCCGGCCCTCTGTCGGGCCAGCGGAGGCTCCTGGTGGCCCATCCCCCGGAAGGCCGGCTGAGCGCTGCGCCGCCGGGGTCCTGCCAGGGTCGGCGAAGCAGCCGCAGTCCGACGCACCCACGCGGGGCGGGGGCCCAATCACAGTCGAGAACACCCAACCAACAAAAAATAGGCGCCAAATTCCCGCGATTCGGCTGTGGTCTCTGGTCTCTGGTCTCCGCAGCCGCTTGTGCACCGCAACCTCCTCTCTTCGCCCGCGCTGCGAGAAGAGCTGCACGCAGTAGGCCCTAATAAATACTGATTGGTCGATTGGATTGGTCGGTTTAATTGATTCATGGGTCTTGCCTGGGAACCGCCCGGACTGGGCTGGACTCCATACCCTGTCTCCTATTAAACCTGTTGATCTTGGGCAAACCATTGCCTCCATTTCGAGCCTCAGTTTCCTCTTCTGCAAAATGGGTAGACTGGGCCTTACCTCCCAGGATTGATAGCCCCAAATTAAATAAGTATATTTTATATAAAATGTTAATATGTAAATATTTATATGTAAATAGAAAGTGGCTAATTGGATGCAGGGCTGAGAGCGCTGAATGTAAGCTCCTTTTAGGCAGGAATTTTAAAATATCTTGTTCACTAGTGGTGCCTAATAGTTGTTCCGTATTTGTAAACTGAATCTACAGATATTTATGGAGTGCCTATAATGTGTGAGGCACTTAAGTTTTAAGTTGCTTCCCAGGTTCTGTTTGGTTCAATTGCTCAGTCTTGTACGACTCTTTGCGACCCCATGAATCGCAGCATGGCAGGCCACCCTGTCCATCACAAACTCCCAGAGTTTACTCAAACTCATCCATCGAGTTGGTGATGCCAGGCCTTAGAAAGCATCACTACAAACGAAGCTAGTGGAGGTGATGGAATTCCGGTTGAGCTATTTCAAATCCTAAAAGAGGATGCTGTGAAAGTACTGCACACAATATGCCAACAAATTTGAAAAACTCAGCAGTGGCCACAGGACTGGAATAGGTCAGTTTTCATTCCAATCCCAAAGAAAGACAATCCCAAAGAATGCTCAAACTACTGCACAATTGCACTCATCTCACACGCTAGTAAAGTATTGCTCAAAATTCTCCAAGCCAGCCTTCAGCAATACTAAACTGTGAACTTCCAGATGCTCAAGCTTCCCAGGTAGCTATGATAAAGAATCCGCCTGCCAATGCAGGAGACATAAGAGATGCTGGTTTGATCCCTGGGTGGGGAAGAGTTCATTGAGGAGGGCATGGCAACCCACTCCAGTATTCTTGCCTGGAAAAGCCCATGGACAGAGGAGCTGGTGGTCTAGGGTCCATAGGGTCAGAGAGTGCAACAAGACTGAAGCGACTTAGCACCGCATTCTTGCTGGGGAAAGAGCACTGAACAAGACAGTCTCTACCTTAGTTGAGGTTCTGTGCCTCATCAAATCATATGGGTGACTGCAAATTAGTTAACACACTTTCTTTTGTCTCTCATCCTTATCTGTAAAATGGGAAGAGCAGTATGTGAGAAGTCAGTGAGTTTAGAAGGTTAAAGCACTTAGGACAGGGCCTTTGCACTCATTAAATGTTAGATATTAAATAAATACACAGAATCATTTTGACAATGTAAGTGTGATAGACGAAAAGAATGAGCTAAAGAGTGCCTGGGGACTGGCCACTTTTTTTGGGGGTGATCACTAAAATAAATTTTGGGGATAAGATTTCAAATTTACATATAAATTGCAAGCATGGTAAAGATTCTCATACATTTTTTAACCAGAATAATAATTTGCTATATTTTACTATATTTGCATTGTCCTATTCTCTTGTGTATTTGTGTATGTTTTATACATAGACGTGGGTGTACTTTCCCCCCCACACCACTTTGTGTTTCAGACATCATGCCCTTTTAATCCCAAATACTTCTGTGTGTATTTCCTAAGAACAGGAATATTGTCTTGCAAAACCTTGGTACAACTATCAAAATCAAGGATTTTGACAATAAAATGATTTTTAATACATCTTCCATACTTAAATGTTGCCACTTGTCCCAATAATGTAGCTATTCCCACGATCCAATCAGGATCACATATTTACATTTAGTTGTCATGCCTCTTTGGTGGTGGTGGTTTAGTTGCTAAGTCATATTAGACTCTTTGTGACCCACATGGACTGTAGCCTACCAGGCTTTTCTGTCCATGGAATTTACCAGGCAAGAATACTGGAGTGGATTTCCATTTCCTCCTCCTGTGGATCTTCCCGACCCAGGGATCGAACTCGAGTTTCCTGCATTGTTGGCAGATTACCGCTGAGCCACCAGAGATTCCCCAGGCCTCTTCAGTTTCCTCAGAAAAGCAGTTAATTACTCAGCTTTTCTTCGTCTTTGTGACCTTAACATTTTTGAAGAGTACTGGTGAGTTATTTTCTAGATGTCTCTAAATTTAGATATGTCTGATATTTTCTCGATTAGAATCAGGTTACACATTTTTGGTAGGAATGGCACCAAAAGAAGTCGAGTCCTCCATGGACCGAATCAGGAGGCATGTGACGTTGTTTTATCCAAGTACCAATGATGTTCACTTTGATCACTTGGTGTCTGCCAAGGTACTCCACTGGAAAGTTACTGTTTTCACCTTTTAGTTATTAAGTATCTCATGGGAAGATATTCTGAGACTATCCTGTTCTGCCTCAGACCCTCACCCACTTTTTTACCATTCATTGATGATTCTTGCCTGAATCAGTTTTTCCGATGATTACAAAACGGTGGTTGAAGAGCCTCTAATTTAGTTTGCTAGGGCTTCCATAACAAAATACCACTGACTGGGTGGCTTAATAAATTTATTTTCTCACAGTTGTGGAGACTAGAAGTCCAAGATCAAAGTGTTGGCATTTTGGTTTCTCCTGAAACCTCTGTCCTTAGTTTGTAGATGTTGCCTTCTGGCTATAAGGCATAAGACCATTCCTCTATGTTGGTTATCTTTTCCTCCTCTAGAAAGGACACAGTCATACTGTGTTTGGGCCTACCCTAACTGGCTCGTTTAGCTTAATCACCCCATTAAAGACTTTATCTCCAAATATCCTAAGGTACTGGGGGATTGTGAATTCCATGGTGAAGTACAGGGAAGTCTGGCATGCTGCAGTCTATGGGGTTGCAAAGAGTTGGACACGACTGAATGACTGAACAATAAAGGTACTGGAAGACTGTAAATTCCACATATGAGTTTGACAAGGGTGTGGAGGGGAGAGTGACACAATTAAGTCTTTAACAGTGACATGAACTGGAACCTCAAGCTAGCTGTGTTAGTGGAAAGGCATTTCAGGAAGAGGGAATAAGCACAGAATCTGTGAGACAGGAACATGATTGATGTCAAATGTAAGCCAGTGGGTGAGAATGTGAAATAGTACAACCACTTTGGAGAAAAAAGTTTAGCAGTTTCTTATATTTACACTATAGCCAAGTAAGAATTCATTAATACACTTACATAAGAATGTTTATAGTGGCTTTTTCTTTAAGAGTCCCAAATTGGAAAACACTCCAGTGTTCAACAATATTTGAATGAATAACCAGATTGTTGTATTCTTGTACCAAGAAATGCTGTTCATTGGGTGAAAAAAAGGAATGAAATATTGATACAACAACATGGCTGAATCAAAATAATTATGCCAAGTGAAAGAAGTCAGGTACAGAAGTGTATATACTGGATAATTCTATATATGATTCTTGAAAATGCAAGCTAATTTATGGTGACTAAGAAAGCAGATTAGTAGTTGGGGTAGGGAGGAGGAGATGGAATATAAAGGGACTTGATAAGCTTTTTGAGGGGGTGGATACGTTCCTGACCATGAAATTATCTTACTATACTTTCAAGAGGGGAATATGTTAAAAAAAAAAAACTGCTTTAAGTAAGTGCAATTTTTGAACATCAAGTTTACAGCTTTACCTAAATAAAGCTACTTTATAAATGGGGGCGGAGGGGAAGAATACATACTGTGTAATTCCGTTAATGTAAATGCAAGCTGCACTGATCTATGGTAGCAGAAATCGTATCAATGGTCATCTTTGGATGGGAATTGACTGCTTAGGGGCACAAGGGAATTTTCTGGGTGATGGAGTTTTACTGTATGTAAATTATATTGCAGTAAATTTGATTTAAAAGATGAGAAAACAAACCATACTGTGCCACCATGAACACCCATATCTTTACTTAGAGCTTCTTTTTTATTAGATGATTTATTATTATTTTAAAAATTATTTTATTTTTGGCTGCACTGGTTCCTGGTTGCTCCAGGCAGGCTTTCTCTAGTTGCGGTATACAGGCTTCTCACTGCAGTGGCTTCTCGTTGCAGAGCCTGGGCTCTAGGGCATGCTGGCTTCAATAGTTGCAGCACGTGTTGTGATGCCTCAGTAGTTGTGATGCCCAGGCTAGGTTGCCCTGCAGCATGTGGGGTCTTCCTGGACCAGGGACTGAACCTGAGTCCCCTGCACTGGCTGGCAAATTCTTAACCACTGGACCACCAGGAAGGTCCTACTTAGAGTTTCTAAGGGCAGACAGCTGCATCGCGCTCAGGCACAGCTCTGGCTCCACTCCTGTCCTCACTGGCCTCATGTGTTGAGCAAGCCCAGTGGAGTCTCCCTTCCTGTAGTTTTCCTACCTGAACTTTAGGAGAGATCAGATCTGAAGCTCTGGGAGAACCATAATGAGTGTAAACTCTTTTTCATGCTGTGAGAAGGGCCAGCCTACTTGAAAAAACTGTTGATGGCTTGATGTTTTTTCTCTGCACTTTGGTTTTTTTAAGTTATAGAAATAACCTATTATTTATTATTATGACCAATAGCCAATATTTATTAAAGTTTTCTGTCCAGCACAGAAATTAACAGAGAATTCTTATGCCCATCCTGTGAGGAGGTTACTATCATTAACCCCATGTTACAGATGAAGAGACTGAGAGAGGAGTTTGATTAACTGGAATTTGAACTGACACCTCAGGCTCTTCATCCCACCTTACCCTGCTCAGCCTCCCCAAGGTAAGCAT